TTGTAAGAGGTTCTGCGCCTCATCAGGTTATGAGCCCAAGCTCAGCCTGCGACAACACGACTCCGCAGATGAATGGTGGGGGAGGACCATCGGCCGCAGCTGAAGGCCGAGAGGTGGAAACCGCCGCGACTGGCTCAGGTCTGGGGCAAACCCTCAGATCTGAACCGCCGCAAAAGATGAAAGCTGGTGAAGGGGGCAACACAGGTGGTGACGACGTCAACATGGGGACGGAGCCGTCGCCATCCGCATCTACCTTCATGGAGCAACAGACTGGAAATGCAACTGAAGTCCAAGGAGCCGCAGCATCAGACCCGCCTTTGTTCCAGGGGTTGAGATCTCGCACCGACATAGTTGGCCAAGCTGACTCAAGTGGAGATGGACCAGCTGGACAAGTGGGTATAAGCGCTGGGGAGCTGGCTTCGGACCCGGGTGAAGATCCTGGGCAGAATAGTGCTTATCAAACGCCGAGAGCAAGGAGTACGCGGCCGCAAATGCATGTGGATGCAAGGCGGCAGCAGACTTATAGCAACCTTCCTGGCTGGGTTGCAAGGCTGGGGGATTTCTTCCGTGGACCTGCAGTAACCTGGCTACCAAGCCCTTTGCCTTCACCGCCTATGCCGATAAGGTCAAGACAGCACCCTGTTGCAAGTCAACTTGGGACTCCGGCTATGGACACTGTGGGGATTGCTTCAGGGGATGCAAGGAGCTCTGGAGTGCCTAATAGGATAGCGGGTGTTAATAATACCTCAACCCCAAGCAGCAGCGAGATACCAGCAGAAGCCATACAAGCAGAAGTGCAGCGGCAGCTTGGTGGTTTGATCGACAGGCTACAGTCTATGGAGGCAGAGAATGTCAGACTACAAGAGCAGTTGTTGAGGGCAACTACGGATAACGAACCTCAAGCCTCTAAAGAACCAGGAGTAGATCCAGCTTCTCGACAAGCACCTCGAGCAAATCCATGGCGAGATCCTTTAGGAGCACTGTGGGAAGACTGGGCTGGGAAGACAAGTGCAGCACCTCAATCACCAATACAGGAGCAGCGAGTGGCTGAGCCACACGTGCAGGCGCAGTTACCCCAGGATCAGACGTCGGAGATGCTGGCAATGTTGACGCGCAGCATGACGCAGCTTCAGGATATGCAGGCCAAGACACTGCAGCGAGGCTTAGATGAAGAAGCACCGGAAGCGGTTAAGTCGTCAGTGCCTGTGTTGCCACCACTACCATCACCTGAAGGGATCTCAACGGGCATAGTTCTGCAAGACTGGCTGGCACAGATCGCTATTGCAATGCAGGACCTATCACCGTCGTCGGGAGCATGGTGGACTGAGGTGATGGAGGTGGTGCAGACAACATACACGCGATGGCTGGGATCCACTCCGTTGGAGCGTCTTCAACTACAACCACTACAGTATAAAAGACTTTCGGAGGGGAAGTGGATTCGCGTGAATGCCAGAGCGTGTGCAATGTTGCTCCAGAGTTTGACAGAAGTGATTAAGCAGGACCTTATCGCCAGACGAGTGGTTCAGCACGCAGTGCTGATAATGTTCAGATTACACACGATGTACCAGCCAGGAGGCGCATCGGAGAAGACGCTGGTCCTTGGAAACTTGCAATCGCCAGTATCGTGTGATAACCTGGATGATGCATTGGCGTGGCTTCGTGCATGGCCGAGATGGATACAGCGATGCCAAGATCTTAGTATGATGTGTCCGGACGGGACGGTGCTGGCTAAAACGCTGACTGCTGTGACATCCAAGTTTATTGCTGAAGGAGGAGACGCTCAGTTCAGGACACAACTGTTGAGGTCCACGCTGCGCATCGACGGGCAGCCATCCCTGGATGACGTAAAGCGCTACCACCAGCACTTGCAGGCTGAGTTAGAATCGGCAGCGGTGTCGCGAACTCTGCCTCCAGCACTACTACCTCGAGTCAAGGCGATTGGAGTAGGGGCGCAACAAGAGCGCTCAACCTCGTCAGCGTCATCGCCTACGTCACAAAGCAAGACTCCGTGCAAGTACTTCTTTAAGGCCTCGGGTTGCAGAAGAGGGCAGAAGTGTCCGTATGGACATGACATGTCCAACCTCACAAAGCAGGACAAATCCAAGAAGTGCTTGAGCTGCGGGGCAGAAGATCATCGGCAGCGCGATTGCCCTACGAAGGCGAACAGGGCTGGACAGCGTTCTACAGGGTCCAACGACCACGGCGGTGGAGCAGCGTCTACAGTGTCGAGCCCTACGGCGCCAAGAGTGCAAAGAGCGGAGCCTGAAGGGGAGGTTTCACCATCAGCTTCAGGAGGAGTTGTGGCGGCCGAGCCGGTGTGGACTCTGGAGACACTGCTGCAAGCAGCAGCCAAGGTGGCTGGTGCAAAAGCCGCTCCTACAAGCCCGTCTCTCAATGTGGTTTCCCTCAGGGCTCATCGCCCGTTGTCTGGAGGCTTGCAAACGTATGCCTTAGTGGACTCTGGTGCGACCCATGCGTTGAGGAGAGCAGCTTCGGAGGATGAGTGGAGCGCATCACACCCGGTTGTTGTGAACCTGGCAGGTGGAGAATCGATATCACTCAGAATGAATGACGCGGGAACTATCTTGGTTCCTTCGACTGCGAGCGATGCCGGGGGGGGGGCTCCAATAGTACCTCTTGGGGCTCTTGTGGGACAGCTGGGCTACACTATGACATGGAGCGGAGCCAGGTGTCGACTAGAAGGACGACAAGGAGAATGTTTCAATCTTCGAGTACGTGATGGCTGTCCAGAGATTGCCGAGCATGATGCGCTACAACTGATAGCCAAACTTGAAGACAGCAATCTGGAAGAGCTTAAGGACAATATTAAGCGCGCGAGACGAAAAGTGAGAACGGCAGCAATGATGATGGAAAGGAACTGGTTTGACTATCTCCAGAACTATGCGCAAGGCGGCATTGCCACAGAAGCACTTAAGGCTATAGAAGCAGCGGCTTTCTTTCATGATCTACCACAACCGTGCCTGGAGGGCCTAGTGGATGCGGTTCCAGAGCAAAATGGTTGGGAAGTTCTGAAGGGACTACAGCATTTGAACCGCAGAACTCGTACAGGAAGCACGCGAACAAATAATGG